TATATGTATACTCTGTTATATATAACTCTTTCTAAAAATTTTAAAAATTTGGAAAGAACAGAAATAGGGCAATAGTTACTAATAACTGATTTGTCCCCGTCTTTAAAAATAAGAATAGTTTTGGCAATTTTTAACAGCTCGGAAAACACACCTTGATGGAGAGAAGCTTCAAATATTTTAAAAAGAACAGCTTTTAGCTGTCTTTAATAATGTTTCCGTTTATTTGGTCTGCTCCAATTGTTGTTTTTTTTTAATGATGTGAAAGCTCTTTCAAACTCTTCAAACAATAATTTAGAAGACAACTCATTTTAACCAATGCAATTATCTAGAAAGTCAGTAAATAAAGACTTGGTCTTAGGAATTATTTTAGACAGTGCTGGACCTATATCAACAAAAATTTGTTAAATTCTTTAGCTATAGTTCTAGGTACATACAAACTTTTGTTATCAACTCAAACCATTTGTGACAGAAAACCCGAGCGTGTTTTTTATTTTCTAATCATTTCTTTTATTATTTGCCACGTACGTTTTACGTCATTTTTGAATGTATTAAGTAATTGGGAGTAATAATTTATTATAATATTTTTGCAAATTATTTAAAAATATCCTTGTTAACTTTTTCGCTTGTAGGTGTTTTTGTTTTCAAAAAGTTTGTATATAGTTTCTGTTTGATCTTGGATGATTTTTTGAAGCCTTTAATAATCCAGGGTGTATTGCAACTCTTAGTCGTTATTTCATTTTCAACGGTTGGGAAGTTAATATCGTATGCAGAAAAAAATGTTTTGAAAAAAGTCTCACAGATATTATTAGAATAATCATTAAAATTTATGCTATTTCAGTGAAGTAATGATTGTTGATTTTTTCAAAGAAAAAATAAGACCAAATATACTTTTTATAATAATATTTATGATAATAATAACTATATATTAAAATATTTATGGTAATAATATTTATAATAATAATAATTTATAATAATAAAACATGAATTCGACAGTACTAATATGACACTTTTACGTATTATGCTCCAAATTAAAGTACGTTCATGCCTATGCCGAAAAAAGATGCAAAAAATTGCGACGAGGAAGGGCTGGGAACTAAAATACCTCAAAATTTTATGACCATGCAAAACCTATAACCCCCTCTTTTTTTTGGAAGGGGAGGGAGGAGTTAGGAAATTTTGCATAGTCATAACTTTTGTTATTTACAATACTTTAAATGAAATTTAAAACCTGTAGATGAACTTAAATTTAGTGTAAGATGCTTAAATGGTCTCACGTATGAGAGAAGGTATTCAAGTTTTTCCTGGCCTCCATCATCGCAATTTTTTGCAAAGCCTCTTCATTTGGCATAGGCATAAACATACTCAAGCTTGGAGTTAGCACAATACGTGAAAGTGTCAAATCTGAAACATAAAAAATCCTGTGGACGCCCATATATTGTATGGGGAGCAATCACAGCGCAAGGCCGATGCGGGTTGCATATCTTTAAAAAAAGGTGAAAAAGTCAATGCACAAAAGTATCTAAGTGTATGTAAGTGAAAGACATGTATCAAAAGTATCTAAGTGTATGTAAGTGAAACTGCACATGGAAATTACTAAAACCAGTATTTTCCATCAAAATTCAGTACCTTGTCATACAGCTAAAACAGTTAAAAAGTGGTTTACTGATAATAAAATTGAATTACTATCTAATTGGCCCTCTAATTTACCCAATCTTAATGTTATCAAAAAATGCTATAATATAATGAAGCAGAAAATTGCAGCACATCAACCAAAATCTGAAAAACATCTTCAAAAAGTTTTTAAAGAAGTGTGGGCTAATGAAATCACTCCAGAATTTTAAAACATAAGTACATAGTATGCCAAGAAGAATACAAGTCTTGCTTGATAATAAGGGACATCCGACAAAGTATTGAACTATAACATTCAAGCCATTTAAACTGTATTAAGTCGAGGCGCCAGAAGACGAAAGACAAAAAAATCATAATGAGATTTTAGTTATAAAAAAGTAAAAAAAATGTTTTTATTGACGAGGTTATGAAATATACTTAGTGATTTGCATATTAACTAACTTTGTTTGTGTTAGCAAAGAACTATAGTTTTAAATAATTTATTTCTTTAATAAATTATTAAAGAAATAAATTGTTTAAAACTATAATATAACCATCAGGCTTTTTCACAGAGAACCGCTGTTGAAGAAACTAGAAGGTTGTTTAAAACCAAGTTAAAAAAAAGTTGGTGGGTTTATACTTTCTCATATTAAAAAAAAACCTGTTTAAAACTCCAACTAATCAAAGGTAAATATAACCCAGAAATCAAAGGTAAATATAACCTAGAAAACGTCATCAATATAAATAAAATATAACGTCAGCAATATAAATAAAATTTTTTGAGTTGATGAATGTTTAGTGCTTTGATATCTTTAAATAAATTTTTTAAATGTGAAAGACGATTTTTAAAATATATTAGTAACTTTGCGTGTTTCTGACGATGGTAAAAATGTTTTAACTTACTTTTAGAGGTACTTTCGCAAACAATATCCTCATAGTAGAAATAAATAACACTTTCATGTAATATTATTAGCAAGGAAAATGCCTAGGAGTTTTGAACCTACTCCTTTTTTTTTTCTTCAGTTTTAATCAATAAAAATTTTAGCCAGTACTTTTGGAAGAAAGCGCGTTTTCGTTAAGGAGTGGAACAAGATGCATTTTGTTTTCTCGATGTTTAACGTTTGTTGTACTTAACACACCTTCAACCAGTTCAAGGTGTGTTAAAGTTTTTAATTCATATTTGAGAAAAGATCTTAAATGTCACTGTTTGACAGGAACAAATTAGTATTGTCTGCAAACACGATTCTCATAAGGTTAGAAGCTTTATATTTATTCATTTATTTAAATAAAAAACAAAAATGGTCCTAAAATAGAACCTTCTGGAACACCACATTTTATTTTCGATTTATTTTTTTTATTTTACGTGTTTAAGACGTGTAAAACACGTATTACTATGTTACTTATTGAACGCGTCTTTTATCCATAGGTAGCGACTAGCTAGATATTTGCTGGCTAGTCGCTAGCTCATTTCCCACCGGGCTTGTTCATCTTGTAATGAGAGTATAAAATCAGGATCGCTAAAGAGTTTGGAATGGAGAAAATAATAAGTTGTTTAAATGAGTTTTTATAAAATTTTAAAATATAAAAATTATTGTTAAAAATATTTAGTTAAAAATAAAACTTGTTTAATTTCAAAGTAAAATTTTGTCTTTCTTCTATTAATAAAGCACTGATTTAAAATATTATCACTACGTCACTTGCTTTAATGTAGATCCGATGTTTGAGTTTTGCACTAACGTAAATATGAAAAGTTTGAAGTCGTTACAGTTGAGAACATTTTTAATTTAGTAAATGTCAAGATGATAGATTATTAATCGTTTTTCATCGTGTAACTTATAAATGTAAAGTTATAGAATTAACAGCAATTATAGTTACGCTTTCTTAACTTTATGCATTTTGAGTTAAGAACTAAAAATCTACCTTAAAATCCAGAAAAACATAAACATCCTAAAAAGTATTGAAACCGTTCAGCACTGTTCGAGTTGATGAAAGTTCTGCGTGGTTTTACTTTCTGCTTGATAAAGAAAATTAACTAGCAATGTGTAAGAAGTGCAAAAAAGAGATAAAATCAAATGGTGGAGTACCTGTGTACTGAATGCACATCTAAAAACTAAACATGAAATTGACTTGATGAATAGGAAATTGTCCCAAGTTGCAGCATCATCATCGTTTTTTTTTTATTGTACCGTTATTAACGGAGGAAAAATCCAAACCTCTGATCACCGGTTTCTTACAAAATCAACGCGGCAATTCGTTGATAAGTTTTTCTAGATTGAACACCCTTTATCTTGGAATCTTGGATTAGCAAGAGTTGTTGGTTCTTCGCTTGCTAAAAAATGCATTGATTTAAGTTAAAAATTGTTGACATTTTATGTTGAATTGGAGCGTAGATTTTCAGCGAGTGGCAACATTATCACAAAATTAGATCATCTATTGAGGATGATACTCTAAACGTCCTATGTTTTTTAAGGGCTCATTTTACAAATGAGAAAAAAGCGAAAAATGAAAAAGTTAGTTATTTTGATATAAAATAAATAAGCTTTAGGTTTTATTCATATATAAATTTATCATTATTCATATAATGATAAATTTAAAAAAAAGTTTAATACCGGTATAATACCGGTATTACCGGTATTGAAATTATTCAGTACCGAAAAACCGGTATTGAAAAATGGTATCGGTATTGGAAGCACTACTAGTGATCGTGCAGCGTCAACGTTACACAATCATTAAACATTTTTTGCGTACTTAAAACCATTTTTAGAAAGTCAATATTTGTACGCGCATATAATGACTATTATATATCATTTGTATAATGTTATTATAACATAAATGACTTCCTTAAATCAATGCAATGCGAATGCAAGTTATTAACGTGATTATCGTCTACTAATTGTTAATCGTTTATTTACGAATTTAATGGGTAGTTTTGTTAGCTTCTTTAAACAAGCTTATGAAGCTACCCAATAAATTCGTAAAATAGCAACCATATTTTGTTTAGAAGTTTTTGATTTTATAATAGTTATTTAGTGGCAAAATTAAATTTCTAGTTTAAAACTTTTTTTTGGTTTTTTATATACAATTTAAATTATAAATTTATAATTTTTTAATTGTATTTTGGTAATAAAATTTTAACCATAATAATTTAAACAGACACACGCATAGATACTTTGATATAAATCAAATTGTTTATTTGGCTTTCAACTTTAAATAATAGTAAATTGTTTACTTTCGATCTCATCATAAATTAAATCAAAGTAAACTATTTAGATTAGATCTCAGATAGGCATAAAACTTTGGTATATATATATATATATATATATATATATATATATATATATATATATATATATATATATATATATATATATATATAAAATTTATTTTAAGCATGACAAATAATAATAATTAAAATTATAACAGTTTTATGCTTCATGGATACAATAAAAATATTGGATCAATTTAAATGATCAAAAACTTTGGAAAATGGTTTCAAGTACTTTTATTGTTTTATGTAGTTATTTTATAGTATCTTTTTTATCTCTTGGAGCTATATTATCTGCTGGATTAGGAAACACATGGTGGGTTTCAAAAACATCATTTGAAACTTATGGTTTGTGGAAGGACTGTTTTTATAATATTACACAGAAATGCATTGTTAGAAGTGATATTCTTAAGTTTCGTGTAAACCCAGGTAATCAGTTTATTTTTTATAATGATAGTCTAATGCCAGGTAATCATGATTATTTGTTTGTGTGTTTATATTAATAGCTTGTTTTGTAAAAATAGTTTTACTTTTCTCTCCAATATGTTTGTGTAGTTATTTAAATTCCAAATTGTTTGTGTAGTTGTTTAAATAACTTCTGGTACGTAAGGTATTATTTGAACCACACCATACACTTTGGTGTGGTTCAAACAATACGTTACATACTTTTGCATTTATAACAAGATGGTTTAATGTGGATCAAAGCAAAACCTTTTTTTTTTATCCACAATAAACCATGTATAAATGCAAACACAAAAATGAGTAGCTTTTAATACTGTAGTGACCCCTCTCCCTTACTTGACTGGTGATATTATTGTGCAAAAAAACAAATTATATTTTGCTCTTTTAAATTTTTTCATTTTATTTTCAGGTACTGATCCAATCATAGTATGTTTACTCCTGTCATTTATTTTTATGCTGTTCTCAACAACTATGTCATTAATAATAACATTTTGCTGTGAAAAAAAGTATAGTCTTCAGAAATCTGCAATGCAAGTAAATGCAATATTGTTACTTATTTCAGGTAAATGAAAAAAACTTTAAAAGTAAAGGAGTTATTAGATTTTTTATATCAATCTCATTTGAACAATGACTGTATGTATGAATGAGATTGATTATACACAATGTCATTGTATAAATCAATCATTTGAATGAAACATTTGATTGAAGATATTGTCTCATTTTTTAGCTTATTGATGCCCGGTCTGTTAAAATTTTAAACATTAAATTAAATTTTTTTTTCCAAAATTTTAGCGACTAATGTATAAAAGTTTTTAAGGGCAAAAATTTGGCAAAATATTTATGTTGCATTGTTATTTACATGCTTTGAACAATAGACATAAACATAAATTTAAATTTTTTAAATTTATATTTGTATTAAAAGTTATGTTAAATAAATTTATGGTATATACAATTTTTTAACTACATAAATTGAGTAAAGTTTTAATGCTTCAATGAATTCCAAGGACAAATGATTACAGAAAAAATAATTCTTTAGACAAATGACCCAATGGAAATGTAAACCCATGGTAATCATAAATACAGTGTAAAAGTTCTTATGAAAATCTTTTTTTATTGGAAACTGTTAAAAGTAGTTTAAACCTAACATTTAAAAATTATTCAACGTTATAAAAGTTTGTAATCATGATTTAATATTTGAATTACTATTAAACATTTTCTTTTTAAGGATATAAATCTATCCTCTTAGCAATATCAACGATGTTATCTGTTAGATAAATTGTACTTATCTAAGATAATATTTAATGATTTGACAAAAAAGTTTTAATATTTTTAAATTCTCTTTTTAAAAAAATTATAAAACAAGATTTTATTTAAATTATTTTTTTTTTCAGTTATTTGTTCTGTTGATGGAATGGTTTATAGTGAATATCAACTAAGACATCTATTGATAGTTAATGATAGAGGATGGTCATTTTTTGCAGCCTGGGCTGGTACTATACTTCAAGTTTCAGCGTTTTTGTTAATGTTGTTCAAACTTTGTTTTCATCTACGAATGAATGTTAGGGTGTCAAATAGGGGGACGATTTTTTAAATTAATTTCAAGTTTTTGTAAAATGTTCAAATGACTAGTGTTTTTGTGTTTTCATAAGACAAATTTTCGGGCTTTTAATAAAACACTTTAGCGGTAGCTGATGGGTAGTTGAATAGTAATGAAAATACCTTACTTAGCTGAATAGTACTGAAAATGTTTCACCTGGCTGAATAGTACTGAAAATGACTCACTAAGCTGAATAGTACTGAAAATGAAGTACTTGAATAGCTTTAAGATATACATTAAACAAAATGCCAACAATCTATTTTTTTGAAAATATTTTTGTAATATTGAGAATTTTTACTGGTATTAAAGATAGTACTAATAAAATAATATCAAAAATACAATTTAAAATAAAATCAAAACTACTTCTACTTCTATTAAGGTACTGATTTGGCTTGGTGCATATTTATTTGGTCCTGATTTTATATTTATTCAGTAGCTTATCACTAACATTTTACATCATTTGACTTACCTCACATTAATGTGAGTTGAGTAAAATGATGTAAAATGTTAATCACATTGATTTTGAAATATTTTTAAAATTTTTTACAGTAACTGCTGTACTCCGTATAAAAACGGTATTTTTTTTTCACTTTTTAATAGTATTTATAGACATGTAAATATTTTTGATAATAATTTTAAAAGCTATTATTATTATTTTTGTAAATTATGATTGTAAAAATGTATCTATAAGGTTTTTGAAAATATTTTTATAATATTGAAAATTTTTTAATGGTTTATTTTAATTGATGTAAACCAATCACCGAACAATAAAAATCAAGTAACTATTTTTTTATTTAAAACATGTGCACTTTATACAACGCAAAGATTGTGTTTTTTGTGTCAAAAGTATATTTTTAAATTTTTTATTGCGATTGCTGTATTTAAGATATGCAATGCATAAATAAAATTTTAAACATTAAATTAAATTTTTTTTCCAAAATTTTAGCGACTAATGTATAAAAGTTTTTAAAGGCAAAAATTTGGCAAAATATTTATGTTGCATTGATATTTACATGCTTTGAACAATAGATTTGCATAATCAAATATTTGGATTATAGTTTATCTGATATATAATAGTAAAGGTTAACAGCAAACATAAAAACTAGGGATTACACTTACTCAGTGAACCCCTTTCCCTCCCGACTACCAGAATCTGAAAGTCCTAAAATATCTTGGAAATTTTTTTTTTTTAAGTAGACAAATGTGGTACAAAATACAAATATATTTCAACATACCGCCACCCACCAAAAATTCCTGGATCCGTCACTGCACTTACTCTAAATTATATGGAACGATAAAAACAATATTAATTTAAACGATATAATTTAAAACTATTCTTAGTAAACATGTTTTAAATTAATAGCGAAAATAAGTTAATAATTAAAAAATGCAAAATAGCGTTTTATAACATTCTTTAAATTAATGTGTCAATAACTACACAAAAGAACATCTTTAATTGATATTAAATGTTTATTTAGTTAATTAAAAAAAAAAATAATTGTATTTTGGCACACTCTGTCCCACTGTGATGTAATAGGCCAGGTGAATAAAAATGAGCAATTGCTTTTACTCAGTAATTGGTCAGCTTAACGTGAATAAAATCATTCACTTCTTCAGCAGTTTGGCTCAAAATCTTCATCTCAAATTTTTATTGACGTAAAGTTAAGCTATTTACTCAGTTTTACGTGAATAAAAACTTAAGTAAAATTCCTTAATTTTATTCACGTAAAGCTGACCAATTATTAAGTAAAAGCAATTGTTTTTATTCACTCGGCCTAATATCAAATATCCGACGGGCATTTGTTTTTAAAAGTTACGATCTAAATGTATTTTAAATGTCTTTTAAACGTCTTTTAAACATTAATGTTTAAAAGACGTTTAAAAGACGTTTAAAACACTTTTAGAGCGTAACTTTTAAAAACAAATGCTCGTCGGGTACAGAAACATAGATTAACATTTAAAAGCTACGGAAACTAAAGAAAAACTAGCAGACCTACTAATCTAAAAAAATATATTTTACAAATAAATAGATATTAAAAGTTGTACTTTTTTTCTGCCGTAAAAAGTTATTTAAACTGTAAACATAAAAATACAAGTAAGCAGTGGTTCGAATAAAAAATTCTATGAATTTTTTTAAACTAGTATGAAATGCTATTTAAATGCCATTATAATGATCTTTAGTCTAAAAAGAGTAAAAATCATTATAATGCGATGGCCAAAATTAAAGTTTTTTAATTTTTTGTTTGTAAAGTTTTTGTTTTTATATTGAAGATTCGAAAGCTAACACATTCAATATGCATCTGTTAAAATATCAAAAATTAAAACGACGTATTTAGGTCAAAGTTAAAATATTTGGTAAATAAGTGTCATTTAAGAGAAATTTTATGGGTGATGTTCCATCCTATATATATAAAATCATTTTTAGTATTTTCCCAGACATATATACATTTACGGACTATGTGAGACTAGTTTTAGATTTTAGTTCATTTTTTTCTTAATTTATTCAAAACTAGGGTTAAGTTATGAAAAAGTATTGAAAAATAATATGGTAGTTTAACTTGAAAGCTGGAAAACTGATATTTTATTATTATAATTATTTTTTTTTTACCATAATAATTCTTTACAATAAAATATAATGTACATAAAAGATTAATGGAAGAACTTCTAGAAGATCATATAGATCTTATCACGAAGCCCTGTACAATTTATAGTTACAATAAATATACAATATTTAAATGATATAAACTTACAATTTCCGTAGTCAAGTTATATGAATTACAGTAAAATTAACAAAATTAAAATAACACTGAAAAATATATAATCGTTTGAAGTAAATAAAGATGTTTTCTAGAGAAAAAATAATTTCTTTTAATTTTTGTTTGAAATAATTATAAGTCAAATTAATAGAAAAATCTATATTAGGTATAACTATTTTATTCCATAGATATGGACCACGATAAGAAACAGAAAATTGAGTATATTTATTCCAAAAAAAAGGGGCATTAAGATAATTATCAGTACGAATATCATACTTATTTTTGGGTTTTATTACACAAAGATTTTTAATACACAAGGAGGTAAGTTTTGTTTACATTTAAACGTAAAGCATAAAATGTTACATACGTTTAGTTGGTAAAGATTTAAGACTTTCATTTCCTGCAGAAGTGGCTTAGAGGGCATATTTGATAATGTATTTGTATAATTAATGTCACAATTAATAAAGGAATAGTATAGCTGCTGTTTGTTTAATATGTCTCTAGCTTTATATATAACTTGCAATAGATTTTGCAACTTTTGAGGAGGTACTATCAATATGATTTTTCCAAGATTTTCGTCAATATACACTCCTAAAAACTTTACAACTTTTTCACTTTTAATAACGATATTGTCAATAAAAAGATCAACTATCGATTCTTGCGGAACCTTGCATGTAATATTCATTAAAATCTGAGAGTCAGAGTTTTGATTGTAAACATATTATTTGCGATTAGTTAAATAGCTTTTGAACCAGTTTAATGTTTTATCTATTATACCATAAGATATTAGTTTTTTTAAGAAGATCTCGTGATCAACAGTGTCAAAAGCCTTAGACAGGTCTATAAAGACTCCTAATGTAAATTAACCGTTTTTAAAAGATTCGAAGATGTTGGGTGTAAGTTAGAGAATAGCGTGCTCAGTTAAATTGTTCCTTTTAAAACCAAATTGATTTTCATAAAGGAATTTTTTGTCAATAAGGTATGTATAGATTCGGTTATACATTATCCTCTCGATAATTTTTGAGAAAAATGGAAGAATTGAAATAGGGTGATAGTTATTCAGATAAATATGTTCGCCGGTCTTGAAAACAAAAAACATTATCTTTGCCATCTTTAGATGATCTGGAAAAGATACTTGAATTATAGATGCTCTAAATATTTTATAAAGAATGTTTTTGATGACGTCGTAAGAGTCGATTATAATATTTCCATTATTGCCATCATATCCTGTAGCCTTATTTCTTTTTTAATGATTTTAAAGCATCATCAAATTTGTTATAAGTTAACTCAGTATAATTTATGTTTGAATTACTGAAATTTTGTGCATCATTGACGTGTTTATCGTTTATATTTGGTAAAAAACTGTTTACATAGTTGTCTCAACATTTAAAAGTTTAATGAAAGATGGAGCCGCACCTTTTGACATTTTTTAAGAATAATTTTATTTTCTTTATACAAGGTCTTTGTAAAATATCTTTTTTGGCATTTGTAATCAGTGGGTAATTGAGAGTTTTCGATGTTTTAGATATGACATTATCAAAACTCCAAATTTTAGTATGTTTATGCTTGTGTGAGTGAGTTTTTTTCCAAAGGTGATTGGAGCTTTATGTCGAGTGAGAATTTTTTTCCAAAGGTGATTAGAGTCTGAAAAAAAAAGTTGGACTGATAATTGATATGCCAACATCTCTGGGTCTTCAAATAATGGAAACAGTGCTAGAAAATTTTTTCAGAATGCAGAGAAGTCTGCTCAAATTCTTGAACTTGATGTCAGTATGATAAAGATGTTGCATGTGATTTTGTGTACACTGTCATCTAACTTTCTAATTGACTCTTTACTATTTAGAGAATGTTGTTACAAAACAGCTGAGAAGTATGTAATCCTTTATCCATGGTATCATATGTCACAGAGTCTGCATCACATTCTTATCCATGGTTGGCAAGTTGTAGAGAGAATGGCTTTGCCTATTGGCATGCTCAGCGAAGAGGCACAAGAAGTTCAAAATAAAAACTTTAAGAAATTTTGAGAATCATTTTCCAGAAAGTGTTTGCGTTCCAAAACAAATGAAGAGTTATTAAGGCGACTAATGTGTTCTTCTGACCCTTTGATAAGTAGTTTGAGAAAACCCCATCATCCTAAGAAAAACGCTCTTCCAAATGGAGTTTTTGATCTTCTTAAAGAGGTTCCAATTTTTGACTAAGTGTCAATTACATAGTTTTGATTTTCGTTGGTGTTCAAGATGGTGTTTACTTTATAAGAATCTAATATTTACATAATAAAATAATGAATATAAAAGTTTGTTTGTTTTCTTTTATTTTCGTTATTAAGTTTTTGTAGCTCTAATTGTATAAAAACTTGCTTATTTTATATATGGTTGCTAAGGGTATCTAAACTACAAAGTTAAAATTTAATTAACTGTTCCTGTAAACCTTTATATTTAAGAGTGTTTTAAAAGTTTTTGTATCATCTTTTAAAGAAGTTTTGAATTTAGAAAAGCTTCAAAAAAAAATTACCAACTGGTTTCTAAGAGCCCATAACAGCAAAGCAACACCAAAAATTGATAATTTTTTGTTAGTGTTATCATTCGAATACATAAAATAGCAATGTAGCATTAATATCAGTTTAGTTTATAACTTTGATATTTTGAGAAAGTCTTTTTATTTAGGTAACTATGCAAATTGCCTGTTGATATAAAATATAGGTATCCATGGCAACCAAATAAACAATGTAATGGTGCCATTAGATTTTTTATATGAAATATACTCAAGGTGCTAATTATGGGAAAAACCTGATAAATATTTTAAAAGTTATTAATTTTGTTCAGCTAATAATGATTTTGGCCCACTGTGCGATGTCGCAAAACTTGCCCAGAGATAAGGTTTGAACCACGGATCTTACGTTTCTGAGGCAAATACGCTTCCACTGCGCCACGGATACTCAAACTCATAGTACAGAAGTCCTTTTATAAGCATTATAAATTTGCAATTACAAACTTAGTGTTCTTATTTAAATATTACGATTTCTTAATTACAATTTATAATTCTTAATAACATTTTGCGATTTCTTATTT